CCAGGAACGACTTCTTCGGCTTCCTCACGATCCTCTGGCCACATGGAAGCAGCGTGGGCGCTCCAGGGAAGCCCTGGTTCGTTGCTTAACCCTTGAGGGGAGCAACTTACAAGCCTCAGCGGTTAGGGCTGCCTGCTGGAGGCTTTTGCCCATCCTCCTGCTGCCCGGCCAAGGTCCTCACTGAGTGGCTTCAGATGTGCTCAGTGGCCAGGGCAGCGTGCCGCCCCAGGGGGCTAGTGGCAGTCCCAATCCTGCAAGAGGAGGCTGTGCGCGGACCAGGGAGGCAAAGCTCGACAGGTCCAACTGAATTTCCCTTAGATCCTAGTAAATTGCTGGAGATCCAGAATGAGCAACCTTTCACGATCGATTTGAGTCAGAAAAACTGGGGATTCCTGGTGCCAGGGGGCGTTGCCCAAAGAGCTTATCTGACTCAATCCAATCACGAGAGGATAAGGTCAACCCATTCTGGATACTCCTCCCCCCCGCATGGAGAATACATGGTTCAAAGTTAAGGATCCTGTACTCATATCTTTCAGAATTTCTAATTTATTGCAACTATATTGTCTCATTTTAATACATTATTTCAATAATTGAAATAAATTATTTTAAATTAATAATTTTAATAATTTTTCTGTTAGCTTATAATCTTTTGGGAACACAGGAATCAAAAGACACAAACGGTATATGGGAAATGTAGCAATAGACAAGAGATTTTTCAATAACTTAATATGTTAATAGTAAACAAAAGTCAAGTACTACTTAGTTTAATTTAGGCTTTATTTTAGCTTGGTATTTATTGGCATGCCTGTGGCTAATAAAATAGTAAAACTGTAGCTCTACAATACAGCTCTAATTAAAATAAACATTATGAAATTATTGAGTCTAAATGTGATCTGCGTAATTACTTATGAAAATGTATTAACAGCAAAACAAGGTCACTTGAGAGGCAATTTGCAGATGCTTTCAAAGGATTTCCTTTGGTATTTGTAGGCCATATGTCTCCTCTGATAAAACCGTCAGAGCTACTTAAGAGGATCCTTTATCATGATTTGTAAAACTTAGCATAATGCATAACAATTAAACAAATAAACTTGTTGCCTAAAATAGCTTAATTGTGAAATCTCAAACATTAAAGGTCAAATAAAACTATATTAATGCATTATCAGTTTGTCAAATATCTGTAACTATTGAAATGTTACAAAACTGGTCACATTCACCTCATGATGGACGCGACACTATTACCATGTTGTAAAATAATTTTTGGAAAGAAAATTCACATGTACAATGCCAATGCGTGTACTAAAGAGATTGTTCCACATACTACTTTGCAGGCACTGGCTTTCATCTTAATCTATTTCCCCCCACATTTACACTGCTTTTTAATAATCACAATATTCAATTATACATATTTAAAAAAACTGATCACAAGAAAAAGAATACTTCAAAAATGTATTTTTTATAAATTAAATTATTAGTAATCAAAGATACTTAAATCTTAAAACTCTGACTACAGGACAGTTATTAAAAATTTAAACAGAAAATGTATAGCAGTATCAACTCAGTAAAGTAAATAGATAGGTCTTAAACTAGTAATGGAAGTGTGGTGCCAAAACAGAGAAGATTCTACAACTATAGTGTTTGAGAATACCCTCCTTCAAGTAAATGTGTAATGAACAGGCAGCAGTCCTGGCAAATTCAAGCTGGCATCTTTGCCACATCTTTGTTGATAGGGAGTAAGCATACCACTTGATATCCAGATCCTAGCTATATATAGATTTGTATACTATGGCAGATTTCTTCACCTTGAATTGGAAGAAAATTTATAGCCAGTCCAATAACTTCAGTATAGATGAAATAGTTTACTATAATTTGCCTATTGTGCAACCTAGCTACATTATTTTGTACTAGTTGTAATTTATAAGACAAAATCCATCATTTAAAAATGCCATTATGAATACTAACTCAGAAGATGTATCATAATGACAGAACGGCTGGAGCATTCAGTACCCAAGCAGTCGGTGCCTCCCGGGGGGGGGGGGGCAGAACAATTAGGAAATTGTGAGCTGTGAGTAGCAGCGAGGAAAGGGCAATATGCAACTGAGCTTTCCCAGGCAAGAAGTTGGAGGGTTCCTAATTGGGTTACCCAGACAGAGGCCTGGACCAGGCTTAAGCCAGTAATTGGATGGAGCAGCAGGCTGGAACAGGCAATGATCAAGTGATTCAATAGGCCCAAGAAAGTTGCTGGATCTCCATAGGAGGACGGGCAACAGGCTAGCAGCTAGCACCCAACAGTAGCAGCAATTTGGGTGGTGGCAGCAATAACACTGGAGGGGTGGGCCTGTGGCCTGTAGTGAGATTGCCGACTTGCAGTCATACCAAAAACAGCAAACAGTGGCTAGCTAGACCGACAATCTGGGCATCTGAGGCTGGTGGCTGAGACCCTGTGAGAACTGGCTTATGTGGGGACCCAACATGAGAGCAATTCAACCTGGGGGAACGACTGGTGGGGTGGGGTAACCTTCCTTCCATAGAGTGAGAGCCCAGGGGACAGAGCTGAATTTGGATGTTTATGTGTGTATGAAAGTGTACATAATTGGGCAGTGGAGTTATCCAGGCAGATGTCTTGGGAAACTTCAATTTGTTGCCCTTGGAAGAAGTTTGGGAATTTATTGCTACCATGGTGGCCGTGGGCCTATCTCAGCTTGAAACAGTGGTTATACACCAGAGATGGCTTTCTTGTCAGAGCAGTGCATGAACCTCTGTCTTGCTCATTCACCTCCTTCTTTGAAGCTGGTCCCAATGGGTGCTGATAGGCAGTGAGAGATCCAGCCCATATCCTTACTTTATGGGGTGCCACAAGACCCAGGGCTCTGTTTTCTCTCTTTTAACATCTACATGAAGCCTTTGGGTAAGATCATCAGTCACCATTGGATGACATGGGATTGTCAGTATATGGATGATATCCACTAATACATTCCCATCCCTGGTGCAGTGATGTTATGGATGTTCTTGTGAAGTGGTATTTTAAGGTTGTAGGGGTCTGGATGCAAAACAATAGGTTTTAAGCAAATACAGATGATAGGTAGGGTCTCTTTTTTCTTTTATCTGGGATTGGGTAGGGTTGGAATCTGGTGTGTAATCTGGAAGCTCTCTTGGACTCACAGCTCCTGCTTGTATTATGCATCAGTTGTGCCCCTTCCTGGATCAAAATGTCCTTCTTTCTGTCACTCATGCCCTAATCATTTCCAGTACAGATTACTGCAAAGTGCTCTACATAGAGCTACCTGCCCCACCCAGGAACTTGTTGACCTGTCCCACCTAGTCAAGCACACAGAATATGCTATGGATTCTGTAAATTAAAGAACTTTGACTGGCAGAGTCTAGAAAGAGAGCCTTCTCTGCTGTTGCCCCTGCCCTATAGAATATCTTGCTCCCAGAGGTGAAATGAGTCCCCACTCTTCTGCCTTCCAGAAGAGCATCAAGACCTGGTTCTGCCAACTGGCATGAGGCTCTAAAAATTGCATGCAATTCTAGAGGTGATTGGCAGCTTGAAGACATTCCCTCTGCCTTTTTTAACTTTTAGAATTTTCAAATTTTTAACTTTTTAAAATTCTGTTTAATTTTGTTTTTAACTACATCTCTTTTTATGTTTTTTATTTGTAAACTGCCCAGAACACTTAGTTGAAATGGGTAATATAGAAATTTAATAAATAAAATATATTCACTATTTAGAGCTCTTATTCAAATGATTTCAAGACCAATCCCAGATACTTCTACTTAAAAGTACAATTAGGTACATATATATAGCAATAACAACATTATGCTACATAGCCTAAACAGTTCAATTCCAATTTAATCATTGGCACTAAAGAAAAATCATAGGTAGACATTGTCAATTGATATTCTAGTAATATAAGATCAATTACTATATATACATATTTTATACTCCAAACTGAAGGCAATAACTTGCTCAGACTTATCACCAACTTTCACAATCAAGTGGAGATTTATCGCTTAATATTCTTAATATTAAGAGCCGAGGTGGCACAGTGGTTAAATGCAGCATTGCAGGCTACTTCAGCTGACTGCAGTTCTGCAGTTCGGCGGTTCAAATCTCACCGGCTCAGGGTTGACTCAGCCTTCCATCCTTCCGAGGTGGGTAAAATGAGGACCCAGATTGTTGTTGGGGGCAATATATGCTGACTCTGTAAACCGCTTAGAGAGGGCTGAAAGCCCTATGAAGCGGTATATAAGTCTAACTGCTATTGCTATTGCTATTCTATGTTCATATACAAAATATTCTTAATCTATCACAATTGTGCCTTTATTTAAAAGCAAGCTCTACTGATTTTAATAAATTATGTCCACAAATTATGTCCACAAACGGCACAAAGTATTGTAGCCATAATTTATAGGGAGTGAAATGACAGTAAAGATGAAGTAACATTAGCATCACCATAGCAAAAAAACAAGAAAAAAGTGATTACCTAAGAGAATAAAGCTACAGTATGACTGAGTGGAAAAGATAAATGCTGTTTACCATACTGTTACATGATCAGACACACACCTAAACTTTACTTGTGATATCTTAAGTCTGGGAAACAGCTTAGAAAAAAACCAAGTTTTTCATAAGCACAATGTATTTCTTGGTAAGAGAAACTGAAACATGCTAAGGAACTGTCAAAAAGTGATTGAAGTCAGAGGAAATAAGAAAAACAAAAATGACTAGCTGGCAAAGATAGGTTTAAGTAGTATGTCTGCTGAAGAGACTTGCTTTCCTGAGTGATTTAATACACTAGAGAGGAAATTAATGTGACAGGGGTTCTGCCTATCATGCACCAATATCCAGAGACAAGATGATAATAATGGTTGCACTACATTATTGACTAAACTGTACCTTAAACCCTGATTAACTCTATAGAGAATTTAGTAGCTGCTATATACATAGCAATAGCTAATTTAAAATAGAAACATACAGCAGCAAAAACAAAACTATGGCAGCATGGAGATAGTTAATGATTTATATCATAGAAAAATTAGCCATAAAACAGTTCACTGTATTCCTCACTAGACAAAAGACAAGGGAAACTGAAGAACGGTTTGTATGCTTTGACTAAATGTTCCTTGCATAGTTAATATTCTCTGAGAAACGTGTTGTTTTATTCTGGAAATGTTACAAATAAAGGACAACAACTAAATCAATTCACAAAAAATCTTTGTGTACTTTCTCCTGTCTAATCCTAACTATGCATTGGCTTTAAGGAACAAGCTAAGATTAGGCATCATTGGATTTGATTACCTGTGAGCCAGGACCTCTCATCACTATCTGTACAATAGATACTATCTTATTAGTAGGCAGCAAATTATGGCAACTACTCCCTATTCTAACAGTGTAATCCTAACAGCAATCACAAAAATACTGTTTGCTCTCACAAGCCTCTAGTCTACCAACAACCTCACTGACACTAAGTAAGCAGTCACCCTAATTCCTTGATTACCTTAATTGTAGAATTGTAGAAGGAAGATCAAAACAGAGGGTAAACAGTTAATACCTCTTCCTGATCTAATAGTCTAAGATTGAAGAATGAACAATTAATTAGCATGAAAAGGAAGGAAATGCCATAACCTCACCAAACATTTACAAGCTGCATTTATTATGTTTTTAATCTTAGTCTTTCAACTTTCCATCATTGTCCACATATCTAGGAAAATAGCACATATCTAGGAAAATATGATTAATTTTGTTAAATTTGATCCAGCAGGGCCAGAGATTAGACCTTAATGAAGGTATCTCCATTGTTCCCAGCTGTCCAATTCTGATCCCATCAAAAAGGCATAATCTATTAACTCAAAAGAACAAACAGAACTGAAGAAGCTTCTTGGATGTGAAGTGAAACATCTTTATCAAGGAATAAACAAAGTCAATTTCCCTTTTGAAAAAGCACTTTTAAAACAACCATGACCTGGATGACTGAGAATCTCCATAGACAAGAACAAACAGTTGATCTGCATTGCCAGGTAGCTTGGAAAAATAGCTTAACATTTTCAGGAGCACAATATTACTCTGAACAGCCAAATTTTGTCAGTCAGTTTGATTGGGAACAATTACAAGTATCTAATATAAACCTGTGTTAGAACAATTTCTAGAATATCGTATAACTGAAAAGGCCTTGTTTGACTTATTGAAAAAAGAATTTTGTCTCCCTGCAACTTCAAATTACAAATAGATTAACTGAATATTTGTTTCTGGTGAAAAGAGTACCGATATGGTCATACTTTTCAGAATCCATGAGTTTTCTTCATTAAGAGTTGTTAGTCAATATCACTATCTTTACAATTCTTTCATCTTAGAATGGAATATATAATCCACCTTTCTTTCATCGGCATTCAAACCAGAGAGATATTACATATGCCATGGCCTCATGAGGTTTCATATTACTTCCATGCCCCTTGTTGGGGTGTAGAAAAATTTCTATTTTTAGACATGTGTAGTATTTTTATTCATAATGACCACCAGGAGGCTACACTTGACTGGTTTCTTATTTATGATTTATCAGACATATGTAGGTGAGATTTTTTTTTCCTGTCAACCAGGAATTGAACTCTGGTAGTAAATATAAGTTTTAAATTCTTGGTGTTTTAATAGGCACATATTCAAGAGTCATCTAATAGGTTACTTAGTTTTTTTGTTCACCTAAGGCTTAGATTTGATCACCTAAGGCTCCTGAACTTCCTTATGTAGGTAATTGATTTGTGTGTGTGTATCCCCATGGATTTATACTGCAATTAATACCGTGCATTTTGCTCACAAGACTTAAAAAAGAAGGTGGATACACAATCATTTGATGTGATTAAAACATAAAAGCAACAAAATGTGATTTTTAGAACCAGGGAGAAAGTCACGAAAACTGTATAAGTAGCTTGTAGGCAATCAAGGAACACAATCAGAATTTAATAATTACAACCTAAGGGTTGAGAGTTTTTGAAAAGGCAGCCAGATCATATAACATGAAAACAATATATGTATGAGTGTGTGCATATGTGTATTTATTTATTTACCTTTCTCTGTTAAATTTCAGGGAATGCAATATAGCTGGTCTTTTCTGACGCAAGTTCCATAAATGTAAGGTATCATCAGCCAAGGCACTCACAAGGGCACCCTTAAAAGAGAAAATACAGTTAAAATCTGTAGAGATTTAGGGACGCTGTCCTTTTTAGGAAGACCAGTTCCATGGTAGCAATTGAAGGGTAAAATCAATATATTTGAAGTTATTGGTTTTGTAAATACAAAGTGGCAAGATCCATTTCATTTATTTTTGATTATGTCATTTAGAGTCAATAATTTAATATTAGAATCTCATAGTAACTTTGAAAAGAATGTTGGAAAAATGAAGTTCTTCTGATCACCTTTATTTGTATGCTTAAAGAGGCAGTGTACAAGTAAAAGTGGCTCTGAATGAGAAAATATGATTTGCCATTTTACCAAGTGTATACGCTAACAGAAGTTCTTACAACTTATTATCCAATAATTGCTTCGATCAGGCAGAGTCATTTGTTCATTTTATCATATATACTGTAATAATTAAACACATTTAATAATAAAAAACAGTACAAATAAAAACATCAACAATCACAAGCAAACACTACCAAGAGAGGAAAGGACACATAATCTTAAGGATTTTAAATATTCACATTCAGTATTCTGTTAAAAATAACATTTGGATAGATGAAAATATTTATAATTAACTAATTTTTACACATAGCAATTTTTAAGTTAAAAACATTGTTTACCTATTTTTTGGGGGGGGGGGAGTTTAATCAAGCAAATCAGCAAATTCTTCTTACTTTTTAAAATACCATTGATAGCAATTAGCCACCCACTACAACAGAACAAGTTTCTGAATTATTTATCTACCAAAATAAAAACAACCCCTTGTTAAAGGAATCAGATATGAGTTATACCACAAGCTTACAAACCTCATTGATCAAAAACTGAAGCTGGATTACTGCAGCACCACTATCATGTTGGCAGTAGCATTCAACTCCAGGTCGACCAAATCTGGCATTAGATTAATTAAGGAACATTATATGAAAATATAGGAAACTCTTCAAAACTTTACATATTCTTCAATTAATAATTAATTGCTTCTATGATAACAACAGTAGTTACTGGAATCTTTCAATGAACTAATATGGAAAATGAGTATTTCTGTTCTATTTTAATATATAACTAAAATATATTAAGACGTTAATTTAAAGACCTCATTGTCATCAATGAGTCACCAGTTCAGTTTTGGTTTATAAAACTTACACGGTTCTTTCATTTTCTTATATAAAAATGTATAGAATATTGTAGCATATAAAACTGAATATGATGATATTAATATTTCAAAAAGTAATCTCAATATTACTAATATGTAGTTAAAATTAATGAAGTTAAAATTCCACTATTATGAAAAGATATGACAAGGAAAGTAGAGGGAGATTCAACACTTACTTTTGCACAGACTTTAATATTCTAAAATAAATAATATATTATAAATATAAGAGCCGAGGTGGCGCAGTGGTTAAATGCAGCACTGCAGGCTACTGCTAGATCAGCAGTTCAGCGGTTCAAATCTCACCGGCTCAGGGTTGACTCAGCCTTCCATCCTTCCGAGGTGGGTAAAATGAGGACCCAGATTGTTGGGGGCAATATGCTGACTCTCTGTAAACCGCTTAGAGAGGGCTGAAAGCCCTATGAAGCGGTATATAAGTCTACTGCTATTGCTATTAAATAATGTAATCAAATATTTTATTTAAACTTATTATAATTTTCAGGAAAATGTATGAAAAATCAATTACACAATAGTTTAGCTTCATTTACTAAATCACAGCTTTATAGCTATTAAAAGTTTTCCAATTCAAAAATTGATTTGGTTAATATCAAACTAGGTATAACATCCCTCATATGAAGTATAGATCAGTAAATTTTTTCAGCTTGAAATAGCAGTATAAATAATAAATAATGAAGACTCACAGTGGTAAATATGTAATGAATGCAGAATAATACTAGTAGTTAAAAGCCTGATAATGAAAGAATGGTGCCTAGATAATCTGAATTTAGTTCCATTATTAAAATAAAAAAATGAAGAAAGGAATTACTTAATTTACTCATAAAATAACAGATTTGCCATCTCAAAAACTAACATATGTCATATCTGGATAGAAATAAGGCTGTATTTAATCTGGATGTTTGTACAGAATCCAAGCCTAAAGAGAACTCTGAATTAAATCAGAAAGGACACTCCTGGCTATAAATTCTAGTGCTTTAAAAATGGGTTGCTTCATGCATATGCACTCTTTTTTATACACTTGAGGAATTACAAATTAGCAATGCAAATTTTAGGCTTCATCATTAGGTTTTAATTAAAGGTGATATTAGTATTTTAGAATGACATCCATGTTTTTTTTAAAAAAAAGTTTAGGAAGTTTCCTTTTTAACCAAATCCACTTCTTTTTTACACACGAAATTTAGCCTATTCATAAACTAAACAATAGAGAGCCCTTGAATCCTTGAATGTTGCAAGTGTTAAAGAAACAAGCACAGTGTTAAAGAAACAAGCAGAGATGAGAAAGGGGAAGATGCAACATGTTTTAAGGGTACCTGTCTTTTCCCACATCTAATCAATGATTTTTATTGTTTTTATTGTTGTTGTCTCAATAATAGTGTTATCTCAATGACAACTATTTGCCCTCTGATCTGTTCTAAATTAGTAGTTGGTAACATCTACCAAGTTTAGGAACAAAATAATAGTGTTAAGGTTAAATTACCTTTAAAATGCTATTTTAAAAAAGGACTGCAAAACTAAATACTGTATTCCAAATTAAGTTTTACTTCAATATATATTGATACTAGATTTATTGCATCCTCATGTCAATAAAATGGTGTTAAAAAACCCAAATGTTCATTTAACAATCTATAAAGAAACACAAAAGCAATGAATAGGCTGTCAAAGAATTCTGACAAGGGAGATCATTCTTCATTGTAGGGAGTCCTCCACTTAACATATCTGTTCTAAATTACAATGACACTGAATAAAGTTATTTATGACTGCTTTTTACACTTATGACCATTGTAGCATCCCCATGGTCATGTGATCAAAATTCAGCCACTTGGCAAGTGGCTCATATTTATGACAGTTGCAGTATCCTGTGATCACCTTTTGTGACCTTCTGACAAGCAAAGTCGATGAGGAAGCCAGATTACAACTGTGTTACTAATTTAACAACTGCAGTGATGCACTTAACAATTATGGCAAGAAAGGTCATAAATGTCTTGCTTAGCAATGGAAATGTTGGATTCAATTGTAGTTTATCGAGAACTATCTATATACTATTTTTATTTTATTGTGAATATAATATTGCTAGCAATAGAAATACATACGGTAACACTTGAAATATCGCATACCTACAGATGCCCCACTTAAGATTTAAGCTGATTCAAGGACCAAACTAGAAACAGCTTTAATATTTCATACTAAATCTCTGGCTCAGTTCACTTGTAAAGTTCAGCTGGCACTATTTTCTAGCTTTGGCCCCTTGGAACTTGTTCAGTACAAATTCTTCAGGGTGATATTTCAAGTGTTTTGTTCTGTTTCTAATGCATTTTTACAACTTGAATCAGGTTTAATAAAGGTAAAAGCCAGACTGTAGCTTTCAACTTTAGTGTACTGGCTTCTTTTCTCCCCTAATACTCTCAGATAATTATAGATCCTTGTAGAAAACAAATTACAGAAATATTACAAGTAAATTAGAGGGAACTTATTTCTGGATATGTAAGCTGCTAAATTATTAAATTACTTCTACTGAAATATTTTCTACCATGAGCATAATAATGTTCTAAAGATAGAAGCTGAATACAGTTGAAAATGCCTATCAATGGCTCTTTTTCAAAGTAAATTTAGGAATTCAGTGAGAATTCACAATCCTGAGCTCTGAACTGACCTATTTTTTTAATTAAAGTTTCAGATGAGGAAGTAGGAAGTATTCTTATCAAATTTACTTCTCACAAAAATATGATAGGAAATCAAATATCATAGAGAGGAACAGCATTGAAATTTTTGATAGGTTAGATAAATAGGCTGAACAGAATAAATTTTAACAAGACAAATGCAGATTAATGCAGTTAGGAAACAAATCAAATGCAGATATAATACTACAAAGACTGTTCTTGGCAAAGACAGAACCATAATATCTCAGGATAGGGAAGATAAGCAATGGTTCCTACCTCACCAAATTCAGTTCTGATAAGAATAGAGAATAATTGGCTTTGCAACAGTATTTGTGACATGAATATAGGAATAAAAAACCTGGTTATATAATGAATGTGAGTCAGCAGTGTGATTTGGGTACAAAAGTGGCAAATGCAGTTTCTGGAGATCATGCTTTAAAATGAATTTTAGTCATGTGAAAAAGATTCAAAGAATGATGGTAAAGTTAATCAGGGAACTAGTAACTTCATAATTCTTATGAAGAGATCTAAATAACCATTTAGCCCTAAGAAGGAAAGAATGATGAAGTATATGATATCCATTCTCCAAATACTTGAAGCACTTGGAAAACAATCAAGATCTCTTTCATTCCAGGATGCAGGATATGAAACAATAGAACTGTTACACAAAAGTAGTTTCCAATTAAATTACCTAGTAGATGAATAATGAAAGCAACTTCCTGGAGATTTGGTGTATTTGAAGTTATTGCTGGACATGTTTAAATTGAGGTTGGACAAATCTCTGGAAAAGTTGCTTTCATTTACGTCCCTGGACTAGTGGCTGAATCCAATGGTGCAATGACTTTTCCTATACTAAGATTTCAATGGACTAATTGGACAAACTTGTAAAGTTTATTTAACTATTGAACACTACTTTTCCAATGCATATTGACTGCTAGGTACTTCAGCAATGGTTAAGTTTGAAGTGGTATAAAGTCCAATAAATGAATAAACAAACAAATAAATCATTAAATAGCTGAAGAGAACAGTAATTATTAAATAGGAAACATTCATTCAGTTTTTAAGAATACATAATTATCATAAATATTCTCACATAATTTAACACCTTTCTAAATTTAAAAGTAAAAATTATTATGACTATTACTAAGCAATATGCAGATATTATGTCACAGAAATTTCAAATTACTATTACTATTACTATTACTAACAAACACAACCAATTATAATTCCTTCCATATACCTCCTGCTTTTCAACAGCAGAAAATTGCACTCATTCATTATTCATATTAAGCACAATGTATAGTTTATTTATTCATTCAAATCTGTTTTGTTTTCATGAACTTTGGTTTTGTCTCCTCAATGTTACTTTGGTTTTGTCTCCTCAATGTTATATTAAAAAATGTAAAACAGTACACAAACTAGCTGTTCTAAAACAATCTCTACATAGACATCAGACAGATAACTTACATTACCATCAAAATCAATATATTTACTGAAAAAAACATTATTGAATGTTCTCTATGTATCCAAAACATTCTATTTCTAACTTCAATACCTCTAAAAAAATTCAGATAGGCTTTTAAAGAACTTTTTTTAAATTACCGGTATACCAAGTTATTTTCCTCAGTGCAACATTGAAATTAGAAGGTGTCCCTCTAGAACAAAATGAAAACCATGGCCAACAGTGGTATTTACCTGGATCAGGATTAAACTGACAATCATCAACACCACTAGAAAGAAAACAAATCCAAGCGGTGGAGCAGTTTTATGCAAACTAGGAATTTTCAATGAAGCAACTGGCATATACTATATCGAGGTAAGGAAAGAATTAAGCCAAAGACCGATGATACAGAGCCACAAAGTGAACACTGCCAAACTTTTAAAATGTATTGATCTTTTAGACAAAATCATAGTAGTACAAACTTAACCTATGGGCCTTCACTAGAATCAGAATATTCTCCTCAGCAATTTTAGAAGGAAGATTTAATAATATCTAAGCTATCTAAGTGATGATGCCCTTCTAAATGTAAGGAGATTGAGTGAACTAACATGTGATTTTTGTGATT